CTGCACTCCAGTCTGGGCGACAGAGTGAGACTCCAACTCAAAAAAAAAAAAGACTCCAGCTGTGTCCCAAGGAGGGACAGAGCATCTCACTGGGGCTCAGGGACCAGCCTTCCTTGGGACAGATCAGGGACCACACCTGGGGAGGATGGTGCCCACCCAGGGTCACCCAGGGACAGCAGAGAGCCAGCAGGGCCAGCACCAGAACTCCAGACTCTACTACTCCCCCCGGGCCCTCCTGGAGGCAGGGTGGGCTTCACAAACTGCCCCCTTAGTTTTCTTTCCATCCAGTCCTACTACTTAGCTGAATGTTAATTTTTTGTTTTGTACTTAAGTACTTTATTTTACAGCAGTAGCCAAGAAGTCATGAGTGCCATATACCATATGTATGATGGGTTTTTGTTGTTTGGTTGTTGTTGTTGTTTTCATAGAGACAGGAGGGTCTTCCTTTGTAACCCAGGCTGGAGGTCAGTGGCACCATCACGGCTTATTTCAGCCTCAACCTCCTGGGCTCAAGCAATTCTTCCACCTCAGCCTCCCGAGTAACTGGGATTACAGGCACATGCCACCATGCACAGCTATTTTTTTTTTTTTTTTTGTAGAGACAAGGTCTCACTATGTTGCACAGGCTGATCTGGATATCCCAGGCTCAAGTGATCCTCCTGGCTCCACCTCCCAAAATGCTGGGATTACAGGCACATGCCACCATACCCAGCCTCAAATGATTGTTCATACTCACAAAAATCAAATGCCAAGAGGCTGTGGGGGGCCAAGACTGGGCTAGGTTTGCATCTGTTCAGCCCCAGACACTTCACAGCTGGCCCCAAGCGAGGGACCTGAGGTCCAGAGCAGCCGGCAGGACCCTCCCTTCAGCAACCTCAGGCTTCTCAAGAAACTGGTTCCTCAAGCAGATAAGCTCCTCTCTAAGCATAAATCGGTTATGCTTTTCATCATGAAATTTCCAGGCACGCCTAGAAGTGGGAGGAACCGGTGCGGCGGCGTGGAACTGTCATGTAAATTTCACGGTAACGGGTGCGTTGCCGTGGTGTTTCATCTGTGTTTTGCTGAAGTCTACCTTCTTCATTTCCAGCCCTCATGATCCTCTGCTCCTAGAGATGTCAGGATGAATCATTCTTAAAACACATTCTGTTTACATAACCACGTACTGTGATCACACCTATCAAAACCATATCTCCTTCATATTATCCAATACAGTCTTATGTTCAATTTCCTGGGTTTCCTAAAACTGTCTCTGCAATTCAGCTATTCAAATCCCATCCCAACAGAGCCCTCGGACTGTACTTGTAATGTCTCTTGAATCTCTCAAAATCTAGAACATTCCACCCCCTCTTGACCAGTTAAAGACATGAGGTCTGCTGACCTATGGAAGTTCCCATATTCCAGATTTTTCTGGTCACTTCCTCAGGTGCCGTGTGTCCTGCTCCCCATCCTCCTGAATTTCTTGTAACTGGGGACTTACAAGCAAAGGGTCAGCCCCTGGAGAGGAGCTTTGCAGTGGAGGCCAGCTCACATCAAGTGGCTATGGCATCTGGCTGTCCACTAACAGTTATCCATGACAGAATTGAGCTTCTCTCATGACAGCAAGTGGTCTGCTAATGATGTGTTGTGTCCTACCAATGTATGGTTCACCATCACCGCCATCTGCAGGTTGTGTCGTCTATTGATGGAAAATCAAGGGCCGAGTTAATATCTTCATTGGGGGACAAAATGATGCTTCTAAAACTCCCTCGTTCCTTGTGCACCCTTTAGCTGGAATTCTCAGAGCCAAAGAGCTTTCCCTCTTACATGGGCCCCTGGGTGGTGGCTCTGAAATGCAGGCTGTGGCAGTCGGGATGACGCCCCACCAAGGACATCTTCATCCCAATCCCTGAACCTGCGAACACAGTGCCTTAGATGGCAGCAGGGCCTCTGCAGCTGGGTGAGATGAAGGTTTTTCAGAGGAGACTATCCAGAATTACCCAGCGGGGCCCCGAACAATCACGAGTCCTTGAAAGAGGGAGGCTGAGACATGGGGACAGAAGCAGAGGTCAGAGAGACCAAAGGACGGGAAGACGCTGCGCTGCTGGGGTCCACGGTGGAGGAGAGGCCAGGGCGCCAACACCTTGAGCAGCTGGAACAGACAGGACACATGTTCTGCCCTGGAGCCTGTGGGACCGGCCCGGCCACACCCTGGTTTCAGCCTAGTGACACTCATCTTTCCTTCAGAGCTCAGAACTGTACAATAACAGACTTGTTCCATTAAATAGGAACAAGAATACAGAGGCCAACAGAAAATAAAAGCTCAATTACTGACACATAACACAGCTTTTCCTGCTGCAAATGTGGCCACAGTGCAGATGTGTGGTGGGCCACTCAGCGAGCCGTCACTGATGGACGCTTGGGTTGCTCCCAATACACTGTCTTGGAACCTAGCAATGAACCATGGGCACATGCTCCTCTGCACGTATCAAAACAGAAATCTTCCACGCAATCACCCTGCAAGGTCTTATGCTTTTCAGGGAGACCTGCAAGCTTTGCCAGTGACCCTCAGGGCCCTGTGTTGCTTGCATGTCACTTCCCTCCCTCCCCAAAAGGTACTGAGCAAAGCTCTTCCAATGGCACCATCAACTGTGGGCCATAGACTCTAGGGCCACCCTGGCCTTCATCAGGCAGGGTCCTAGGACACCGAAAGGGTGACCAGACTCACATTAGCAAAGGGGCCGAGTACAGTGGGGGCCATGCACAGTAATGATGGGGTACCACAGGCCTGATGTGTTGGTGTCTGGGGCAACAAATTGCCACCAACTGGGCCTTCAAACAACAGAACTATCTTCCTTCCCAGTTCTGAAGTCTGGAAGCCAGAGATCAAGGTGTTGGCTGGGTAGGGCTCCCTTGGGGGCTCTGGGGGCCTCTGTTCCTGGCCTCTCTCCCAGTTTCTTAGGGTTGCCATCAAGCTCTGGGGCTATCTGGCTTGAAGCTGCGTCCCTCCAGACACCACCTCACATGGCCTTGTCACCACCTCACATGGCCTTGTTCCTGTGTCTGTGTGTCTGAGACATCCCGGCCTTCCTCCTACAGGGCCTCTGTCCTGGGTCTCTGTCCCACGTCTCTGTCCCAAGATGATCCCATCTCGAGATCTTTAACTCACGTCTGCAGAGACCCTCATTCCAGATAAGAGCCCATTCCCAGTCTCCTGATGGACATGTCCTTGGGGATACCGTCAGCCCTTGTGCCTAATGACACACCCCTGGACAGCGACATGGGGAGCCTTCACCACAGTAGGTTTAGAGGAACAGGGCGAGGATGGGTTCCCAGTGCCAGAAGGGGGCGGCAGCCCAAGGAGCCCAGCTACACCTTACATAGCATGCAGCAAGCGCTGGGGTCCTCCACCTGACCCCCTCTCTTCCCATCAGCTAAACCCAGCAGGAAACCGGGAAACCAGATACCCCAGAGAGGGGTCCCTTGGGACCAGCCTCTGCATGCAAAGCAGGGGAGAGATGAGCCAGAGGTGACTGGGGCAGTGGAGACTACTCATCCCGCATGTCCCTGTGCCTACTCCACAGGCTGCAGTCCCCTTACCCCCTCTCTCCCCATCCCCCATGTGCCCCACACCCATCTCACACCCTTTCACCTCCTCTTGTTCCAGGCGGTCGACTACGAGCTCAACAGGGCCTTCATGCTGACTGTGATGGTGTCCAACCAGGCACCCCTGGCCAGTGGGATCCAGATGTCTTTCCAGTCCACAGCGGGGGTGACCATCTCGGTCATGGACGTCAACGAGGCCCCCTACTTCCCCTCCAACCACAAGCTGATCCGCCTGGAAGAGGGCGTGCCCGCCGGCACTGTGCTCACCACGTTCTCGGCCGTGGACCCCGACCGGTTCATGCAGCAGGCCGTGAGGTGGGTGCAGGCCCAGCTTTACCTGGACCATGAGATGGGAGGGGGCCCAGCCCTGCCCGGCCATGAGGTGGGTGAGGGCCTAGCTCTGCCCTGGGCCCTCCAGGCAGGGTCCCAACGCTCAGGCCCCCACCTCCCATATGGAAGAGCCCTGGAATGCACAATGGAACCCGAAACCCGGAAGGCCCCAGACGGGCGGCTGAGATGTCCCTGATCCACGGTGTCTTCAGGTGGGAGCACCTGACAGTGAGTCGTCCATGGCTCTCGATGCCACGGTCCTGAGCATGAGTCCTGGGACAGGAGGCTGGGGTGCGTGGCCAACCAGCGACCAACTTGGGCACACCGGCTGCCCTCTCCCTCACTGTGAGGCACTGGCAAGCCACCCGCTCTCTCTGTTCCTCAGCGCCTATCTGTAAAATGAGGCCATGACAGCATCTTCCCGTGGGCCCCCATGGGGTTCAGCGCTTAGGGCTGGCGAGCGGCTGCCATGGCCTGTCCCCCGGGGAACATTGGCAGCGCCCAGAAGTGTCCCAGGGTGAGGAGGGCCGAGTCCAGGTAGCCCCACCTCCTGCTCATGTCCTTCCCTGCAGATACTCGAAGCTGTCGGACCCAGCCAACTGGCTGCACATTAATGCCACCAATGGCCAGATCACCACGGCAGCCGTGCTGGACCGTGAGTCCCTGTACATCAAGAACAACGTCTATGAGGCCACCTTCCTGGCAGCCGACAACGGTGCGTCCCACTTGGGGGGCAGCTGTCTCCATGGCCATCCTGTGGCCTCGTCCTGTGGGCTAGGATGGACGCTAGCCAGGGGGCCCCCCAGAAGCCAGAGGGTCCGCTGCAGGGTGAGAGTGGACAGGACAAGGGGTGTCTGGGCAACCAGCTTCATCACTCAACACTCGTCAGGGCCCCCAGTGGCACCCTCCACCCACTCAAGCCCTGAGCATCCTGACTCCCATTCCTCCCTCGCACCCTTGTGGGCACTCACTCCAGCTATCACCATCACTCACTCGCTCACAGGCACCGAGGGCAACAGGGATAGTAGCTGCCAAGCCAAGGCTTGTCCCTGCTTTGTCCTCACTAGTTCTGCACCCTCAATGGCACCTCAGTTTCCCTGTCTGTAAGCTGAGGCACTGGGACCAGAGCCACAGTTTTCAAACGTCTGTAGCTGGCAGCCTCGCAAAGGGCTGTCTCTCAGGGATGCCAACCCCAGACTCCAGACCCTGGGATGCTGCCACCTGGGCTCTGGACACCTAGGACATGGAACTCCATGGCCCTCAGTCACAGTATAGGGACATGAGAACCACCAAGGCCCTGGGAGCCTGGGGAGGGGGGTGGCAAGGCCCTGAGACAGGTAGCATGGAGGAGAACCCTGGGGCCTTGGACGGGAGGGTGACGGGTTAGGCAGGTGTGGGAAGAAAGTTCGAGAGCATTTGGGGCTTTTTGAGGGAGGTGGGCCGGTGTCTCAGGGGTGGCCGTGCCCCCTGGGACCTGCAGTGCTCAGCAGATAAGCTGGGCCCTCTCCTGGGTCAGTCACCCTGCAGGGGGCGGGGAGGCAGAGCAGGTGGGAGTGAAGATTCTGGACCCAGAGGTCAGTCCAGCGCCACCACTCGTTGCAGGAAGAGACCTGACCTCTCTGTGCCTCAATTTCCTCCTCTGCAAAGTGGGGGTCCCTAGTGCCCCCAAGAGTCAAATGAGTCAGGATCACCTGAGCCCTGAGGACAGGTCCAGCCCAGATGAGCACTGGACCCAGGCTTGTCTGACCATGACTGCCACTGTCACTGTTGGTCCTTGAGCATTGGCCACCCGCCCATGGCTTTTCATCCATGGACAGGATACAACCTGCACTGCACAGTGACATTCCGAACATGCCAGCAGGAGCCTGGTTCAGCAGGTGATAATGGTAGTAATCTCAGTGAGGTTGAGGTTTATGTCCTCTCACATAAAAAAAGGCTGAGCCAGGTGCAGCGACTCACACCTGTAATCCCAGCACTTTGAGAGGCTGAGGCGAGGCGAGAGGATTGCCTGAGCCCACAGGTTTGAGACCAGCCTGGGCAACATGGCGAGACCTCATCTCTACAATAAATCAAAAACAAAAAAATTAGCAGGGCATGGTAGTGCATGCCTATAGTTCCAGCTACTTAGAAGGCTGAAGCAGAAGGATCACCTGAATCCAGCAGGTCAAGGCTGCAGTGGCTGTAAGTGTGCCACTGCACTCCAGCCTGGGTGAAACAGAAAGACTGCAACTCAAAAAAATTTTAAAAATTAAATTAAATTTTAAAAGGCTGAAGGCCTGGCACTATGGCACATACCTATAATCCCAGCACTTTGGGAGATGGAGGTGGGAGGATTGGTTGAGCCCAAGAGTTCAAGACCAGCCTGGGCAACATAATGAGACCTTATCTCTACAAAAATTTAGCCAGGCATGGTGGCATGCCTGTAGTCACAGCTACTACTTGGGAGGCTGAGGCAGGAAGATCGCCTGAGTCCAGGAGGTAGAGGCTGTGGTGAACTGTGATCACACCACTGCACTCCAGCCTGGGCCACAAAGTGAGACCCTGACTCAAAAAAACAAAAGAAGGCTGGAGGCAGAAAGGTCAGGTTTGAGACCTGGGGCTTACTCTCCACCCACCGTCCCTCGCACCCATGACATGTCCAAAATGGCTGCTGGAGGTCCAGCCATCACAGCCACAATCTGACAAACAGGAGGAGGAGCTGGGAGGGTAAGGGCATCCCCTGCCCTTCTGAGGACTTCCAGGAGGAGTCAAGCAAGGCCTCCACTCATGGCTCACGAAGGCCAGACACATTCACGCAGCCACACCGATGCAAGGGCTGCTGGGAAAGCTGGCTTCTAGGTGGGCAGCGATGGTCCAGGGAAAATGTGGCAATGGAGGTCTTTTATTAGAAGAAACTGGAAAGTCCACTGAGGACCACTCAGCAGTCTCTGCCCCAGGGACAGGAGAGAAACCAGCCCAGCAGATCACTTCAGGCAGTAAGAAGTGCCAGAAAAACCAATGAGAGGATGGGAGACAGTGGCAGACACCCTCCTCCCGCCACGGCTATGAGGAGCTGACCCTGAGGCCAGACCAGCGTGACCAGAGGGAGTTAGCCAGGGGGAATGGGGTGGGGATGCCCCAGAGCTGGGAAACAGTGCAGGACAAGGCCCCAAGGCAGGAAGTGCTGGGAGGTTCCTGGAGTGGTAGTGACTAGAGCTTCCTGAGTGAGAGTTGCAGCTTCACAAAGGCTGGTCTGCTCAGAGGAAGTCTGGGATGAGGCAGCTGCCCACTGTCCCCAAGCCACTGGGGTCCAGGAAGGCTGGGCCATGCAGCTGCCTGTGAGTCCTGGACCTGGGGGAGCGGGGGGAGACCATCTCCCCTGACGTCCCTTCTGCGGCAGCATGGGCACTGAGGTTAGGCGCTGAGAGAACATGGCAGTGCTCGCAGGGAGCCGGCCAGGCATGCAGGCTGGACGGCGTTCCCAGGGTCACAGAATCCATCTGTGTGTCTCCCAGTCACCCACTGTGTCATCAGCTCCTTCTCAACGCAGTTCCAGAGGCAGCACCACACTGTGTCACCTTGACTGAAAGCTGATGCGTTTTCTGGGAGATTAAAGAGAAGTCCTGTAGGACATATTTGTACCCACTTCACCCGCCTCAGCCACAGAATGTGACTGTTAGTGTCAGGGCCAGGGGTGCCATCAGAAGGCAGAGCCACAGCCAGACCATCGCTGCTGCCACCACCCCCAAGCCTGGAGCAGGGACGTTCTGGCCTCCCAGACCACATCCACCAGCACCCTGGCCTGGGCTGAGGCAGGCCTGGACCCCGGGGGATCTGGGGACAGGATGGCCACAAAGAGCTTTGGGGGTCAGTGGAGCACCTCTCTATACTGAGGCCAGAGGCCAGCAGGCCCCTGCAGAGGCCACTGTGGCCTGGAAGCACCCTGGATCCCCAGCTCAGGCCGAGGACCTATCCTTCTCACAAGTACCCCCAGGGCAGCAGCTGTCATCTTGGCTGTGCACCAGGCTCAGGGCCTGCAGCCCAAAGCGCTGCTGGGGGCAGGAAGGTGCGAGAGGCATGGAGGGCTCAAAGATACCAGAGGGCAGGTCCCAGCTCACGGGGGCCTGTGTAGAGCCCCTCCCTGTGTCCCAGGGGAGCGGGGTCCCCAGTGTGTGGTTGTGACCACAGTGGCCCTGAGCTTAGCGAGTGCATCTCCTGCAGCTGCACGTCCAAAGAGGGTGTGTAGTGTGGGCGTCACACGAAATCTGTGCCCCATGTGTGTGCACACATGTGCGTGTGTGCATGCGTATGTGCATACACATGTGTGTGTGGCTGTGTGGCTATGGCCACGTGCCTGGTGGTGTCTGCTGAGATGCCGTGTGCAGTGTCATGGCAGCCCCTGGCACAGCTGCGTGTCGGTGTAGGTGTGGAGATGTGGCCGGGCTGGGTCCACCCGTCATGCAGCTGTATGGAGGTGGCCGTCCCTCATGTCTGGCTGTGGGGCCGGGGGGTGTCCCTGCGTGTGCTGTGCATGGTTGTCCCTGTGCCTGCCCTGCGTGGGCTGCGGGTGGCTCCCAACACACCAGGAGAGGCCCCGAGCCATCACGCATGTGTATCCCGCAGGGATCCCTCCGGCCAGTGGCACCGGGACCCTCCAGATATATCTCATCGACATCAACGACAACGCGCCTGAGCTGCTGCCCAAGGAAGCGCAGGTCTGCGAGAAGCCCAGCCTGAACGCCATCAACATCACCGCGGCCGATGCCGATGTGGACCCCAACGTCGGCCCCTACGTCTTCGAGCTGCCCTTTGTCCCAGCCGCTGTGCGAAGGAACTGGACCATCACCCGCCTCAATGGTGAGCCTGTTTGGCCCAAGCCTGCTGGCGGCCCAGGGGACAGTCCTCCGAGGAGACCATCCAGCCTTCACCCCCAGACAGCCACCAACAAGGCGGGGACATCGGCCACACTTCAGTCGTTCAGCCCCACCCACCCTGCCCCTGACCAGGCCACCTGGTCATGCCCTGTGTCTTGCTGCTTTAACAAACACAGCCACGCACGACTCCGCAGCGTCACCACATCACCTTGGTGACTTTCTGTCCCCTTATCAATCGACTGGATCCTGACACATGAGCTTCCTTGGGAAACTTTCATGGACGTGGATTTGCTGTGTAAAAGGGTATCAAAATTCTGACGTCTGACAGCCCCGCGGAAACGTTTTCCCAAGACGGACCCACATTCATTCCCACCAGGAGGGAGCTTGTATCCTCAAACTTGCACCAGCACCAAACAGGGTTGTTTAAAAAGCATATTGAAAATTTAATGGCTAAAATCAGCTTCCATTTGCATCTCTTGATTACCCTTAGAAATGTTTTTCTACGTGTATTGTCCATTTTTATTTCTTCTGTGAAATGCTCAATGCCTTTGCCTATTTTTCACTGGGGAGGGTTTTTCTAATTGATTTGGTAAAACTCTTTATATATTCAGGAAATTATTTCTTCATCCTACATGTTGCATTGCTTTTTTCTTGCATCTTCAATTGTTTTTGTTTTTGCTTTTTTCTTGAGTTGGAGTCTCACTCTGTCCCCAGGATGGAGGACAGTGGAATGCTCACAACAGCCACAGCCTCAACCTGCTGAGCTCAGGTGATCCTTCTGCCTCAGCCTTCCAAGTAGCTGGAACTACAGGCTCATGCCACCACAGCCAGCTAATTTTTTTATTTACTATAGAGACAAGGTCTCACCAAGTTGCCCAGGCTGGTCTTGAACCCCTGGACTCAGGCAATCTTCTTGCCTCTGACTCCCAAAGTGCTGGGACTACAAGCTTGATCCACTGAGCCTGGTTTTTTTTTTTTTTTTTTTTTTTGAGCCATAGTCTCACTCTGTCGCCCAGGCTGGAGTGCAGTGGCACGCTCACAGCCACCCCAGCATTGACCTGCTGGGCTCAGGCAATCCTTCTGCCTCCGCCTTCCAAATAGTTGGAACTATAGGAGCTTGCCACCCCACCCAGCTAATATTTTGTTTTATTGTAGAGATGACGTCTCACAAAGTTGCCCAGGCTGGTTTCAAATCCCTGGGCTCAGACAATTCTCTTGCCTTGGCCTCCCAAAGTGCTGGGATTATAGGCTTGAGCCACCATACCCGGCCTTTTTTTTTTGGAGTCAGGGTTTCACTCTGTCACCCAGGTTGGAATGTAGTGTCATGATCATGCTTCACTGCAGCCTCGACCCCCTGGGCTCAGGTAATTCTTCCACCTCGGCATACCAAGCAGCTGGGACTGCAGGTACTCACCACCATGCCCAGCTAATTATTTTTATTTTTTATAGAAATGAGGTCTTGCTATGTTGCCCAGGCTGATCTTGATCTCCTGGACTCAAGCAATCCTCCTGCCTCAGTCTCCCAAAACGCTGTGATTACAAGCATGAGCCACCATGCCCAGCCTCCAGTTGTCTTTTAACTTGATGTGGAATAGTGTGTGTGTGTGTGTCTGTGTGTGTGTGTGTGTGTGTGTGTTTATGCATACATGTACCAAGCAGATATTTTAGACCTTTTTCTTTTGCAGTCTAGCTCGGGCAGGAGGACCCCATCTCTGACTGCTTTCTGTTATCTGCACCAGGTGACTACGCCCAGCTCAGCCTGCGCATCCTGTACCTGGAGGCCGGGATGTATGATGTCCCCGTCATCGTCACAGACTCTGGGAACCCTCCCCTGTCCAATACATCCATCATCAAAGTCAAGGTGTGCCCATGTGACGACAACGGCGACTGCACCACCATTGGCGCGGTGGCCGCTGCAGGGCTGGGCACGGGCGCCATCGTGGCCATCCTCATCTGCATCGTCATCCTGCTGAGTGAGTGTGGCTGAGCGTAGGTGGGGGCATCGCGGGTGTGTGTGCTGTGTCCTCGGGATCCCAGGGAGGACTGGGTAGAGAAGGCCCCGGCTTGCCCGCAGCCCGGGGGTCCCCACCTCATCCTATCTGCCGAGAACCTTCCAGAAACCCAACTGCACTGGCCCACGTGGTCACAGGTCACTGGGGCCTCCCATTGCTCTCAAGTCCTAGTGTAGGGCCAGCCTGATCCCACAGTTCAGCAGTATCTTCCATACCTGGCCCCTTTCCATCACTCCACTCTGCCTCCCTTTGTCCCAGTCCCAAGGCTGGCTGCCCTCCTGGAACTGCCATGCTGGGGAAGGCTGGCCCTGCCTGGCAGCATCCCCATGCAAAGTCCCAGGACACCCTCTGATTGGACTAGCTCAGACCACATGCACTGCTTGGAGCCAATCAGCAGCAAGGGAATAGAGTGTGCTTATTGGGCCTGCCCAGGTCACATGCCCTAGTCCTTTGATTGGACAAGTGTGAAATCACATGCATGTTTTGGAACCAATCACCGGCTAGGGAAGAGTGTCTACTCATTGTCTCTATCCAGGTCACATGCCCTAGTCCTCTGACTGGACTACCTCAGGTTACATGCACACCTTGGAGCCAATCACCAGCCAGGAAACAGAGTGTGCTTATAGGCTCTGCCCAGATCACATGCCCTAGTCCTCTGATTGAACTAGCTCAGATCACATGTATGCCTTGGAGCCAATCACCAGCCTGGGAACAGAGTGTGTTTATTGGCTCCACCCAGGTCACATGCTCTAGCCCTTTCTTGGGATTTCTGGAACCATGTCCATTCCTGAACAGGAGTGAGGGCTGTGGGGGGAGGTGGGAGGATTCTTAGAAAAGACCCAGATGCCCCTACCTCCCACCCTCCCACCTGGACAGAAGCTTGTGATAGCCCAGGGATCCTGGTGGGCGGCAGGGAAGGGAAGGGTGGGGCAGAGGGCCTGGGTGCCACTTCTTCAGTTCACGCCCAAAGCAGAAGGTCCCCACTACACGCCAGAACAGGCAGGATCCATAGACAGGTCTTGCCGGGGCCTTCTGCAAACCTAGCCTTGTGGCTGCCTGGAGACCCCAGGGACTGGAGTTAGCCTCATCCAGAGACTTTTTTTTCCCCCATGTCCAGTTCTGTCACCCCTCTAAATGCCAGCTTTTATTTCTGAGACTTGTTTTGACAACTACTGTCAGCGTAATGGACTTGTTTTATGGCCAAGAGCTGAAAAGTCCCACAGAAGTCAGGAGGTGGCTCCATGGCAGGGGCAGGGCCACATGCTCACAGATGTTCCCTGATCTGAAGATACCCCAAGTCCAGCCAGGTGCCCATATTCAGAGCACCCATCGTGGAGATGGGGTGTGAGACCCTGACTCAACCTGGCTGGGGAGGACACCCGGGGAGGGGTGGGGTCAGGGACATGCCTGGGGGCCCAGCTTCTGCCCAGTCCTGGGCACCTCAGCCCCACTGGGTGCGTTGGGGGCTACTTAGGGGGCCTCGCCCTTCTCCCCACTACACCTCATCCATCTCATCTCCAGGGAACGTTTCTGAAGGGCCAGCTGTGGGCGTGAAACTGGCCTTGGGCCTGTTGGGCCTGTGGCATTTGGCTTGTGGCTTTCGTCCTGCTGAGACCAGGTTGTAGGTTCAGGTTCTTGTTTAGCCACTCCTCCCTCCCAGTCTTCGGTTTCCACTCTGCAATCTGGACCTGGTCAGGAAAGGTCCCTGGCCGCCACTTCACACTGCATGGAAGATGCTGTCAGCTACTCATGGCACCCCTCCCTCCAACCCACACTCAGCTTCAGACTCCTTATCACAGTGCTCAGGTAACCACTCCAGTGAATCAGGTTGGCAGAGAACAATCCTCCTGACCAAGTGGCTGTGGGCTCCTCCAACCTCCCAGCTCACCCCTGCACCACTTAGGAGTGCACCTGTCACTTCTGAGCCTCATCTGTGCATCTGTGAAGTGGGAGATAATGGGAGGCTGTGGGGAGGTGCAGTGGAGGGACGGGCCCACGCGGCTGCCGGGCATGGGCAGTGGCATCTCCTCCTGGAGTCCACGCTGGCTATAGTCCCTGTCCTTCCAGACTGAGACTCGCAGAGCTGAGTGGAGAGGGCACGTGCGGACAGGTGAATGGGTGACTAGGCTCTCCCTGCATGCACAGGCACCCAGGGCAGAACACACAAGGGCATCAGGGCCAGGAACCTGGACCCAACTCCAGAGGGCAGGAAAGGGACCCGTTCAGGTTGGGGGAGAGGGTCCCCTCCATTCACAAGTGGGGAGGGCAGGGCATCCCTTTAGTGTCCACACACACCTGACCTTCCAAGTATGCACCCCAGTTCCTCTGGCTGGTGAGGAAAGCCCCCCGGGACACCCCTCACTGCCGCCCAGGAAGGAGGACCCTGGGCTCCCCTCTCCTCCCAGTCCCCTGCCAGGGCTCCCCTCCTCCAACGTGGGGGTCCTCTCCTGCCCACTATGATCCTTCCAAGACACTGTGCCAAAAGCCCTCCCCAACTACCCCTGCCAAATCCCCCACCTCCTGCTGTGGGAGCAGGACCCTCAGAAAGACTGGTGGGCCTCCACCCACGTCCTCCTGCCCCCACACAGTGAGGGGTGCGCTGAGTCAGCTGCGTCCTCAACGGGGCAAGGGAGGAGGGAAAGTCATCAATAAATGTCTCTTAAGACCATCCAGTGCCCAGCGGTGGGCAGGATGGGGCCATGCAGTTCTGGCCTGGGAACTGCACACACATGCAGGCTCACATGTGGGCACACACACTATGCACATGTACTAATATGTGCATTCATACCCACATCTGCACATGTGTGTACACACAGACACACATGAAGACACAGACATGAACACAAAGACCTGTGTAAGCAGATGTATGTGCACATAGACACACATGAGCCCATACACCATACACTAATCAACACACAGACATACACATGTGCATACACACATATACATGTGCTTACACAGACATGTGAAACATGCATGCATTCACTCATGCACATGAACTACACATGCACAGGTGTGTGCACCTTGCACATCCAAACATGTTTGCACATGTGCATGCATGTGTTGCACATGCATGCCTATACACACAGAATCACACAGCCATGTTGGGCGCACACCTGCATGTGCACGCCCATGCAGACACACATGACAAGCAGGCACGCACACACAGTCTCACACATGCCCCTTGCTCATGGTGGCCCTTCCTGCAGCCATGGTCCTGCTGTTCGTCGTGTGGATGAAGCGGCGGGAGAAGGAGCGTCACACCAAGCAGCTGCTTATCGACCCCGAGGATGACGTGCGCGACAACATCCTCAAGTATGACGAGGAGGGCGGTGGTGAGGAGGACCAGGTGAGGCTGCACCACATCCCCGCGTCTCAGCAGGGCTCGCTGGCAGTTCTCATGGCAGCACCAGGGCCTTCTTGGTGGTGACAAGGGACACGCAAAGACAGGCGGGGCACGTGGCCTCCCAGCCCTTGGTGCCTGCCCATATCTGCCTGTCCAGCCCGGGTTGTGCTCCTGCATCCTCATGAGGGACCCACGGCCCTCCCCATTCTCACCCACCTGCAGCTGGGACCCCAGCCCAGCGCTGCCCTGTGCCCTGGAGGGGGCGGGGAGCATGCTGCGTGCGGTCAGGTGACCAGGATTGTGCACAGGCTCCCGGGAGTGGGTTACAGGGGGCTGCTGAATGGAATCCGGGGCTGCCATTGGCCACTGGGTGACTTGGGGCAAGTTCTTAACCCACTAAAGCTCATACCCTGCCACCCCCCAACACGGGCATAGCCAAAGCTCAAGAAGCGTGGACTGTAGGCAGCGGGAGGCCTGTCTTCACTGCCTGAGCATACAAGCGCGTGGCTGGTGAGCAACGTGGGCGCTGGAGTCACCCTGGGAGGGGGCCAGGCTATCCAAGGCAGGTGCCACAGTCCTCACCCCTGCCTGGAATTTGGGAGGATGGGAGGGTCGGAGCAGGTGTGGGACAGGACTGCAGTGATCCGGGGACAGGCATGACAGTGGCACACATGGCCCCAGTCCCAGGATGGAACACGAGTGGGCTCGGTGCCTTCTCTGGTGTCCGCTCCTGCCCTGACAGCCCCTGACCCCGTCCACCCCTCCCCAGGACTACGACCTCAGCCAGCTGCAACAGCCAGAGGCCATGGAACACGTGCTGGGCAAGGCCCCAGGGGTGCGGCGGGTGGACGAGCGGCCAGTGGGTGCCGAGCCCCAATACCCCGTCAGGCCCGTGGTGCCGCACCCTGGTGACATCGGCGACTTCATCAACGAGGTGGGTGCTTGGCAGGCGTCCCCCTAGTCACAGAATCCTGTTCATGAGCACTGACGGAGGCGTCCACTCACCAGGCGGCCAAGTGTGGTGAGGGACCAATCAGACCTGGGTTGGAGGCCCGGCCTGCCAGCTCAACAACCTCGGGCCAACCACCTCCCCCTGTCCAAGGACTGATTCCCACCAGGATCAGGGTAAGGATGCAGCCGCAGGGCTTAGCACACAGCAGGCGGTGCCGGGGAAGGCCAGGCTTTAGAAACAGTGGAGGCAGGGCAGTACTCAGTGCGGTGAACCCTCCAGCCCCACCCTCAGACACGGCCCAACCCCTTGCGAACAGCCTTCCCGGTCTCTGCCCACGTCTGACACCCAGGCAGGCACAGGCTCAAGCACACCGGGTCTCAGGCAGGACCCAGGCCAACCCACGTTCCCTCCGCCCCTCCCCATCCCCCTCCAAGTGTCAGGACACAGCAGGTGGGAACCATCCCAGAGGCGGCCTCCTTCAGGTCATTTGGGGTTTGGACACCCACCCCGACATTTGGAATTTGAAGATGACTTAGCATCAAAGGCAACAAACAACACACCCCAGCCTTAGATTGTCCCCTGTGCAAGAAAGTTAGAAATGCATCTTTATTTATTTGAATCAATGTCTCACTCTGTTGCCCAGACTGAAGTGCGGTGGCACACCACAGCCTCCACCTCCTGGGCTCAGGTGATACTCCTGCCTCAGCCTCCCGAGTAGTAGGGACTACAGGTACATGCCACCAGGCTCGGCTAATTTTTTTATTTTTTGTAGAGATATGGTCTCGCTATGTTGTCTGCTTTAAAAGAATTGATTTAGACAGAAGGTAACCCAGGGAGTGATTCGGCAGAGATATGGAAAGACTTCCCAGAACATTCTCCCGGGTCAGTGATGAAATTTCCACAACCCAACAACACATGACAATGTAACAACATTGTGAAGACCCCAAAAAGTATGCTCTCCCATTCTATAATTGAAAGCCCACTTTTAAATAACTCTTAGAGAACATTATAAATGAAAATGAGAAACCATTCCGTACTGGGGGACACTCAGAGAACCGTTCCCAGGGTTCCGTTCACAGTGGGAAATACACACGGATAGAGAACTGAAAGGAAGGAGCGAAAAGGAATGAGCTCTCACCTCAGGAAGCCAGAAAAGGCAGCAAAGTAAACCCAAGGGGAAAGATCACCAAGAGAAAGGTAATGAATGATGGCAGAGGCCGGGTGCAGCAGCTCACGCCTGTAGTTCCAACGCTTTGGGAAACCGAGGCAGGAGGATCACTTGAGGCCAGGAACTCATGACTAGCTGGGAAACAAAGCAAGATTCCATCTCTGCAAAGAGTAAAAATAATTAGCCAGGTGTGGTGGTGACGCCTGTAGTCCCAGCTACTCAGGAGGTTGAGGCTGAAGGATCTCGTGAGCCCAGGAGTTGAAGGCTGCAGTGGGTTATGATGGTGCCACTGCCCTCCAGTCTCAAAAAAGGGGGGAAGGCATCAATTAAAAGAAGAAGGCTTCAAAGTGGCATGGGAGGGATCGGTCCTCTGTGCACCCAGGCTGTGCAATTCAGTCCTAGACCTGGTGGCACCCAAAATGTCATACAAAGTGAAGCCAGCATCCTTCCTCCATCTCTAAAAAGGAAAGGGACCTGAATCCCAGTGTGAGGCCACCTTGTTCCCTCCCAGAGTCTGAGAACGTGTTTTTAGCAAAAAATGCACGGGTATTAACTAGCCAACCCTTCCCTTCCTGGGTGTGGAGAAAAGCCCTGAGGCCATCTGAAGGTCAGGCAAGCACAGCTGGCCCCAGAAGCCTCTGTCTCTGCCCTCCATGCCCCAGAAGTTGAAGAGGAAGAGGAGGAAGAGGAGGAGGGGGAAGAAGAGGAGGAGGAGGAAGAGAAAGGGGAGGAGGAAGAAGAGAAACAGAAGGAAGGGCACAGGGGAGGAAAAAGGGGATGGAGAGGAGGAGCAGGCCCCAGGTCAGCTGTCCTGTCTGGGTGACCCTGGGTGTGCCTGGTGGCCCAGGAGGCCCCCACACACACTCCCCCCAACACACCACCATCATATCCCATTCGCTTCCATAGCCAGGAGCCATGTTTGCGCCTTCCACCCACTAGAATTTATTTTCAGTTTGGATTACTTTCCGATCTCAGCTTGGGTTTCCCCAAAAGCAGACCCAGAGACATGATTTGAGGGCTGATCCCGGGGAGCTTGGGTGGGGACTGAGGAAGCCATCCTGCTCTGGTAAGGAGCCACCAAGGTGCATCCAGCGGGCGACCACCGTGGGAACTAGGCTCTGTCCATGGGGGTCCCCCGGGAGCCAGCACAGAACACACAAGGCAGAGTTGGCCCATCATGGGGCGAGGGAGTTGGGACGTGTGTCCACCTCTCCCACGGTCACCCAGGGCCCCTCTGCTGGCCACACGTGGAGCAGATGCTGGTGGTGGAGGATGTCCCAGCACCGGAGGGAGTTCAGGACTCCAGCCACCCCTGCTGCATTGCCAAGTCTTGTTCGGGGGGCAGTATCGAACTTAACAACCACCAACTTCTGACTCCTGGCCACCCAGGGCCACATTCCCTGAGGTCGAGAGCCACCTGCCCCTTTGCGGGGCTGAACTCTAGCCACAAGCTGCACCCAGCCCTCTTTCCTCATCTGCTATGTGACTGCTGCTGGCATCTGAGTGCTGCCTCCAACACTCCCACCTCACTTTCATAAATGCCCTTCCCTACTCAGCCCTCTGAAATGCCCTGCAGTTACACTCAGAGAGCACTTCCTGGGCACCTGCTGTATGCAAGGCCCAACTTCATCTTCCGCCCTGCCTCCTGCCTCCTCTTCTAGGGGCCTCCCCGTTCTGTTCCTCCAGACCCCTGGGGCCAAGACCATACACCATGCACTCTAACCCCATGTCTGTGACCCCCCCCAGGGACTCCGGGCAGCTGACAATGACCCCACAGCACCCCCCTATGACTCCCTGCTGGTGTTTGACTACGAAGGTAGCGGGTCCACCGCGGGTTCCGTCAGCTCCCTGAATTCATCCAGCTCCGGCGACCAAGACTACGATTATCTGAACGACTGGGGACCACGGTTCAAGAAGCTGGCGGACATGTATGGAGGCGGCGAGGACTAGCGGACCTCACGTCCTTGGGCCAGAGGAGGGGACTGGACAGAGGCGGCTGGTCTTCCCGGCGCCCACAGCCGTGTCACTAGTGGTGTTAGGAGGTCCCCCCGCCCCCCATTGAGCTGTCCAGCATGAAACTCACCCTGCCAGACCCGCCTGCACGCGGCCGCCACCCGCCACGGGCCGGCTGATCACGGAAGGAAAGCGAGAGGCACTCTGTCTTCACTTGAATTTCTTAGAACAGAAGCACTGTTTTAAAAAAAATGAAAGTGCCTTTTGGTACATGTATCAGATTCCCTCAAACTCAGGAGTGACCACAGTAAGCAGACAGGCCAGCTCCCAACCTCCCGTCCCCGGCAGCCACTGCCCCCTGCCGGTCCCAGCTCCGAAGGCATCCATCAAGGAATGGGGAGAAACTGTCTTTCTTTCCTTTTTTCTTTCTCCTGTTTTTGTCTTTTATTAAGAAAAGGAAAGGGGGTGACTCATTTGAAAAAAGCTGGGGTTCAAATCCCAGCAACCTTTGCTGTAGCCAGCTGGGGTCTCCTGGACCCCCTGGGGGTTCCCAAGGCAGTAGGAATGGCTTGGCCTTCAGTGCTGCACAGGACACTCTCCAGGCGGGTCAAACCCCTGAGGACCACAAGGAAGACTGTGTGGACCTGTCCTTTCCATCCCATCCCGGATGCCACAGGAGCTGGAGTGGGTGGGGTCCCAGGGACTATCCCAGATGCTCCCCACCTCTGCCCTTGACTGCCTCCAGACCCCCAGGTCAGGGCCACCTGTCACCCCGAAGGCCACCCAGGTCCCCTGGCCGAGGTTCAGGAGAGTTTGTTGCCCCAAGAAGCCACAGCCCAAGGCAGTCAGCATCCTGGAGACCCTCGCTCAGCCCTCTGTACCCGGCGACCCGACACAGGGACTCGTCAGAGGCCCAGCATACGCATCAGTCCAAGCCCCTGGATACTCCCAACACCTCTGTCCATCCCCCGGGACTGTGCGGGTGGCGGTTCCCAAGGACCTCATCCATGGCTGGGGGCAGGTGGGCTTGGTGACCAGAGCTCACCCCAGCAGGTCCTACAGCCTCTCTCCTTCCCAGCTCATCTGGACCTAATGCCTGTGACCCTGTGTGGACAGCAGGGGAGACCCCATCTCACCGAGCCCCGCCTGTCTCATGGAGGCCATACATACTGCAGAACGCAAACATTCCTTCCTCTGACTAAAGTCCTCAGAAGCTGTGGCTGGGCCGGTTTTGCTGCCATCCCCAGAGCTGACGTTGCTTTCCCCATGGGTGGTCTGACTCTCAAGCCAGATTGGGGGAGCAGGGAGGTCACTTCTGCAGGACAGCGTGAGGGGCTGAGTCCCAGGATCCTGGAGAGCCCACGGCAGCTGTGACCACGGGTGAGAAAACGACCCAGCACACTCCTCTCCAGGGAAGGGCCTTCTAGGCATGATAGCGCCTCTACCAGGCGGGAGGCAGTCCCCTAGGGAGGAGGCCTGTGCTTGGTCACTTTCTGACTCAGCCCAGAGAATTGACAACACATTCCCCAAGGAAGGGGTGAGTGTCAGTGGCCCCTTGAAGAGAGGGTGGTCCCGGCATTGAGAGAGAACAGGGAACCCCCTCCCCCGAGCCCTGCCCACACCTGTGGCTCAGGTCAGCCTGGAGAGGGCTGGGGCAGTCAGGGTACCTGTGGGATGGCACAGTCTCCACTGGGATCTCTATTCCATTGCCTTCCTCAGCCTATGGGCTTTTCCTGTAGCTAAGGTCATCCCTTTTCTAAACAGCATTGGCCTTGAGTGCACACATGTGTGCCATGCTCGTGGCATGTCCCCACTGGACGTCAGGGTCCCTCCCCAAGCCAAATTCATCACCAACTCTGTCCATTCTCCACAGAGCTGAGCTGGGGTCACCCACTCTGGCTCTGTCCATCGGGCCCATGTGACCGCCAGGGAGGGAGGAGGGACACTGTGTCACACTCTGGGGCACCCCATGCAGATAGCCAGCCCAGGAGATGGCTGCATGGAGGTCAAGGGACAGCCTGTGGGGGCATTGGGACCAGGCCTAAGCTGTGCTATGCAAACGAGTGGTCCTTCACCTGGGCCGAGGCCATGGGGGTGCTGGAATTCTCTATTTTGGGAAGTCCTTCCTTCAGCTCACACTCCCCAAGGTGTGTGAATGGCATGTTCTAAGTGTGACATCACCCGGGCTCACATTCCCGGGTCGGATGTGCCAGACCCAGCCCAGGACTCGACTGCAATCCTACTGGCTCCACCCCACTGCCCGGGAGACCTGGGCACCGCAGCTGTGCCCACCTCCCCACTGGCGCTGCCACTCCCGGCACTGCCAAGCCCTGTCACATTTTGCCTAAATCACACAGGCTGAAGCAGCAGCACTAGCTGGAGGCACATCCATGGGGGGCCTCCCATGCCCCTGGGCCCCCTGCCCTCCAGAGAGCTGGACTGCTTCCCCTCCACCCCTGCCCACTCAGCCCCTGGGGGCCAGAGAAGGCCAGGGTTCCCATCGCCTCAGAGCCATCTCTGAACTCGAGTTAGCATTAGCGGAGCATATAGTTGGTGTCAAACATCTCTCTTCCGTAGCTTGTAGATATGACGGTCTGTGATCAGGGGACCCAGAGGCCAGGAGGCCAGGAGGACCCCACTGCTAGAATGCAAGGACATGGTTTCATTTCTTAGGGACTACTTATTCTGCCCACAGGATAAACCTGAGCTTCAGGGCCGAGAGGGGATAGCCTGGCCTCTTTCCATGGACCACCCAGCTGGGCCACGTGGCCTGGGTACCCTAGCGCCTGGCCCGCAGGTTTCTCTCATCTTTCAGCACATTCAAATGCTGGGCCTCCCACCACCCAAGTGTCTGAGCAATGGCCAGTTAGTTGCCAAGCTCAGAGATACCTGTGTCCCCGGCATGAGTACCAGCTGACGCACACAGCCCATCCAGGCGGCAGCTCTGTTCTCTCCGAGGTAGAAGCTGGAGGGGGGGAAGGTCTCCATTCTGGCAGCACTACAAGGCATGGCACCATTCGGGCTCCAGGAAACCTCCTGAGCAGAGTGCCCCATGGCCAGCCAGGATGTGGCATTCGCCGGGGCTGCTCCGCCCAGCTGGGGGCTGCCTCTGTACAATTGGAACGCGTCTTACTTTTTCTTTCTCTCTTTTTTTCATTCTGATTTTTTTCTGCATGTTTCTTTTTGAAAATGGACAAAACGTGTAGCAGCCCGCATGACCGTGGCTGTGTCAGGAGATTCTGGGGAATGATGTATTCACACTGCAACTCAGCATCGCGCGGTTAGACAGACGCTCCACCTTTTTTTGTAATCGTCAACAGCACAACTATTTTGTATTGTTGTTTGTATCATTTTGTACCAAAAAAGAAAAAAAAGGAAAAAAAAAGGGAAGAGAGTCAATGTTTTCAGTGTGTTTCTAGTGCCAGACAGTCTTGGTCCCAAGCCGAGTCAAGCTTTGCGGGTGGTCGTGTGAGCGCGGAGCCGGCGTGGGCGGCGTTCCCGCAAGCGAATAAAGTCCCCTTTTGCAAGTCGGCCTCCTCCTGGCTCCATTTCCTTCCACGGTCCGAGAAGTGGGGGGGGGGCAGGGGGGGGGAGGGGGGGGGG